ATATATTATTTATTATTACTCTATTTCTTTCACTTTTATTTATTTTTCTCTGAGACAGGCTTTCTCTTTGGAAACCTGCCTGCCTCTGCCTCTGGAGCAATTCCTACCGGCGTGCGCCACCACCACGCCGGCTTTTCTATTTATTTACCACTTTGCCGTTTCATTTTCTCTCTCAATCTCACGTATATTTTTAAACACACTGTAAACCTTTAGAGATTTTCTTTATCCAAGTCTGACTTTACTGTAAATCTTTATGTTTTTCTGGCCACGTGTCTTAACTGTAAAACTGCGGCTGTTTTAAACTGCCTTTTTTTTTTTCAAAATGGCGGGCGTAAGCGTGATTCCAGCTTACCGCCTCAGTCCATGCTGACATCCAGCAAAAGCTGCCACTTCCAGCTGTACGTACACACCTTTCAATCGTTAGCAGAGTCTCTTAAAACAACCTTGTTGGTTTTTTTTTTTCTTTCTATGCCGAGTCAGGAAGACTCCAGTAAGCGAGCCGCGTGAATCTCGGCTTGTCGCTAGCAAAACAGCACACCTGAGAAAAATGCTGCTACCAATAATCTGTGCTTCTCTCAGTTCTTCTGTTTCTAAAATTCCTTTAAAGCTTTTGTCATTCTGCGTGGAAATTCATGATCCCACTCCTGATCACCATTTTGTTAAGGGAAGCTTTTTCTTTGCTAGCCGCTTTGGTTTATCCCCCACCAGTCACCTGGGCTCTGCCGCACCAGCCTGGTTCAAGATCCGCATGAGTCCCAAATAAACACACAGGAGGCTATATTAATTATGAAGCTGTTGGCCTTGCTTGTCCCTTACTGGCTAGCTCTGCCTTAAGTAATTACCCCATAATTGTTAATCTAAGTATGTTTCTTACCGGAGAAGTTTCCGGGCTCCTACCTGGTGTTACATGTCGACTCTCCTGTGTTTCTCCTACCCAGCATCCTCCTGGATTCCTAGCCCCACCTATCTAGATTCCTATTGGCCAGACAGTGCTTTATTAGCATAAGACTTCCCCAACAGAAATGTGTAAAAAGTTAAATAAAAATATGGGGAAAAAGAAATAAATAACATAACTCCTATGAAAAAAGAAACTCAACCACCAGTAACCATTCAAATTACTTGAGTAATGTAGTCAATTGTCCATTTCATTAACAGGAAAAGAATTTGGGTATGGAGCACAGCTTCTACATTCAAATCATAATAGGACAGGTAATTTACTTTATATAATGTAGTGGGAAACATGGTAGGAAAACAACTGCTTGAGTCACCACTACGAAATAGTAACTGATTGTGACAGGACAACTGATTTTGTAAGTTCCCAGCATGTATTGATCCATGTCATGAGAGTGAATGAGGGCCAGATTTGGGTCTACAGTTTGGGATGGTTAGTTTGAATCATTGAATACAGAATTTCCTACAAGGAAATTGTCTTATGTACATATATTCAATACTGCTTGTTATGGTTATATTCATCAGCTGTTACTGTATATGCCATGCCACAGATTTTAGCAGTTATCATTGCATATAGTGACATAGTAAAGTAATACCTTACTCAAGAAGTTTCTTCTACGAGGGAGTTGTTTTCTCCTTTTTAAAGAATGTATAGTCCTGTGGTTTTTAAATTATCTTTATCTTTTCTAAAACAATTATTTGTTTCACTTTTAAAATTTGATTTTCTTTAAACATATCACTGTTCTGATCTCTTTTTTATTTCTCTTTCCTATTGTTCCCAGGTCATTATGAATATGTTTCCACTTATATCAAGTGCTGATGAGTATTCTGTCTCCTGATGTGTAGGATTCCCTCACACTATGAAGCTAAAAACTGCTTTAAACATCTAAGCCTGCTTTTACTGCCCAGTGCTGGAAAGCATGTCATGCAAATGCCTCAAGACTAGTCCTTAACTGGTCACTAAGAAGGAAAAATCGGCCAGTAAATGAATGTCTTCCAACTACTCTAGATTTTATTGGAAACTTACAAATGAAGAGGGACCCATGTAAGAACTGAGTTAATTGACTAACTTTAAAGCAGTTGAAGATCCAGCACAGAAAGGGATGGGCAATGAGGAGCAGGAAAACTTTCCTCCTTTGACTGTAGCTCACATTAGAAATAAATAGTGAAGTAATCAAATTTATATTATTAAATGTTTACAATGGCCATTTCTTGCATTCACAGAACAGGGGATCAAGAATCTGGATAAAGAACTGAACTTATCATGTGACCACATTAGAGCAGTTACAGTAGTTTGACCAAAATGGAATTGGAAAAGTTGATGTGACAATGCCTATAAAGAAAACAAACAAATAAACAAACAAACACAAACCCTTTTCTTTTACAGATTTAAAATGTACAACCTGAGAGAAAATGTATGACTACCACTTGGTGTGCTGCAATAGGAATTCATAGGTTTTGGAGCTTATGGCCATAAAGCCTGTTTCAACGTTTTCAAATAATTATGGTGGATTAAATAATATCATTTCTTTCCTGTCTTTACTGCCTCTAATCCCTTCCATAGACACTTTATTGTGTCCTAATTCATAGCCTTTTTTAACAGTAGTTAATGTGTTAATGCTGCTTATGTTTGACTGTAGGACTTCTGATATATTAGGGAAAGGTTGACTATAATGGAATAAAGCATAAGGGACACCTTATCTTAGAAGAGGAACAGTAACTGCTGTCAAGGACTTGGAAAAATTCTATTAAGACACAAATTTGCCAGACTAGAATGCTGTCTGCCCCTAGGATGGAAGCACAGAGCTGAAAGAAATGTGTTGCCTTAGTCACCTTATCTCTGCATACATACTGGGGACATGCTAATGCCTTTAAGCCCAACTTGGTAACAACAGCTGTTATTGAACTCTGGGCAAGCCTAGCAATCAAGAACACCAGAGGTGGTAGATTCTGTTTGTCAGTTTCCCAGGTTGCTTCAACGCTTAACATGACATAAGCAAGGGTCAACTGATAAAGATTCAGGTGATAACTCGACCAGATCACAAGGGCCAGTTTCAGTGACTCTGAGAGATTGTGTCACTTTGTGATTGATGTGGGAAGGTTCTTACACAGAGCAGGACTGTGCTATATAAGAAAGCTGAGCCAGGCAATGGTGGCTCCTTTAACCCCAGAACTTGGAAATAAAGGCATGTGGATCTCTGTGAGTTCAAGCCCAGGCTGGTCTATATAGTGCATTCTAGGGCAGCCGGGACTGTTCACAGAGAAACCCCCTCTTGAGAAAGAAAAAGAATGTTAGCTGAGCATTAAATAGAGAAAGCAAAAGAGAAAGCCCAGAGACCATGTTTCCATGAGGTTTCGCCTCCAGTTATTCGCTTGAGCTTGTATCCTAAGCTCCCACAGTGATGGGCTGTGGACTGGGTGTGTCAGCCAAGTAAGCCTTTCCATTACCTGAATTGCTTTCCCTAGAGAATTTAATCACAGTGATGGGGAATCATGTTACTATACAAAAAATGGTATTGTAAATGTGTTTCTATTGCTGCAAAGGACTTGGGAATATTGTCCTTTGTAATAATGTCGAAGATACCAGAACTTTAGATGGCAAAAGCCCTAGAAAGCTGTGAACACAGCTCAGTTCTTTATTACTGTAGGGCCTGGAATACAGGATGGTCAATGGTAAGGCATACAGATGAGGTCAAGGACATAGGATCTCATTGATAGTCTCCAAGAAAAATCAGGTGGGAGTCATTTATGTAATATTTTGGTCCAAAATTTTCTTATGCTTCACATATCCTGCAAAACTGAATTAGGTCAAATTAAAAAGGAATGGCCTGATTTATTGGTCAAAATATTAATTCTATTTTATTGTTATTACAAATGAATCATTCAGGCATATAATAAGAAGAACAATAATTTGGTTAAAAAGAATTTCAAACTCTGTGATGGAAGACAGCTCTATGTAATTTCAGATGGCAGCCAAGTAACTGAAACAGAGGCAGGAAATTTAGTATTATCAGCATTTAAAAGAAAGCCTTTGCTCTACACTGGAACCATAGCTATGTACTCTATTCATGTAACACTCTATCCTACACTTCCTCTGTTCTTGGAAGGAGTAGGCAAAGTGATTCCTATTTGCAGGAAGCAGCTCCATACAGATCCTGCTGCAACTGTTTTCAAAGCTTGGCTTTGTATATTCTCAGTACTTTTTCTGAAGAATTAGTTTTATTTTCATTTTTTTCTAAATGTTAGATTTTTATGTGGCTGATATATTCCAAGGAAGTGTGATAACATCCTAATTGACAATAGCACAAATTACAACACACAAATAAGTAAACACTATGTGGGAGCTTTCTGGTATAGCTGTTTTTCACTATATGGAAAAACCAAGTTTATTCCATGAATGATAAAAAATCTTCAGGAGACATGACAGGGGTTAAAGACATGCCCATTGTTTTGACCAAAAGCAGAGATGTGTGACTGAGTCCATGGGAAATCATTTGTGGCCTGACAAGATAAGAAAGAATAAAGGTCCTCTCTGTATATCTACAGACTTGTAAGAAAAAGTAAGCCTAGAAGTTTTGCATCACTGCATTTCAGTCTAAAGAATGAAATGTAAACAGATGCCTAATACCCTCTAGAGTAGAAGTCACTGTATTATTAAGAGAAGACCATTCTTCCCTCAAACCTCATGCTTTTACTGCATGGCTTCATACTCATGACACTGCTTAGGGTGTTGTTAAAACTAATGTAGGAAATGGGACACAATGGAAGGACCTATGTGACTTTAATATTCCCCTGCATGTCACCTCTCACTCTAATTCCCCATGTACCACAAATTCAGGCACCTCCGCCATAGTCCGGCCCTAGCACTATCCAGGACACATTGTAGAAATAACACCTCTTAAGATATGAAGCATGTTCTGAGAAACAGCCTCACAGCTTATCCATCACTTAAAGACTAACCCTAGTGATCATTACCAAGTCAATCAGGTGATAGGTTTAACCAATGTAGGCTAGATTGTGAAAGATAGAAATTGGAACCTGTCTTTATATCACCAGGATGGCCTACACTCTCACTGACCTTTTTGCCCTGCTAGCTTCCTCGTAGCTGCAGTCAACACCCCACTATCTCCCGTCATCACTTCCCAACTATGGACCTATATAAACCCCTTTGGAATGAATAAAGTTTGTTGTCTTGATAAGTATAGTCTTGCCATCCGTGCTTTGAGCTGCTTGTCACCCATTTTCTCCTAGGTGTCCCTGGTCTTACATTGACTGTCCCCACCAGATGGGCCACCAAAAAGTGAACAGCATCTCTTTTCTCATGTATTCTGCTAGCAGGATGTTTTGCCCAAGTGCACTGGGCCAAGTACACTTAACCATATTTAAGCCTTCTGATACAGTGAACCAAAATATATTTTCTCTGTTCAATTATTCTATTGACATTTTTACATTGGGAAGAAATCAAATATATTGTGCTTCAATATCATGACAGTAGCTGGAAGAAAATATGGAAAACACTCCATTGCAATAAGTCCAAGGGGAAATGAAATTTGACAAATAAGAAAATCAAAGCTGTACCACTCATTACTATGCAAATTTAAATTTTAATAATGCTGGTGAGACAAGTTGCAGTCTTAAGTGGGCTATAACAAGATTTAAGGAGTAGGGACAGACTAAGTTACAAGATGAAGTGATGAAGTAGTGTCTCCTAGCTGTGGTGAAGAAGGCTTTTGGTGGTGATGTAAGAATGGATACATGTCAGTGAACTTTGATAAATATAGGACATTGGGACAGGCTTCTGAGATCAATCTATTGTCCTGGAAATGCTATAGAATTTAATATCGAAACAAAGGGGTCAGGTCTTTAAATTAATATTCTAACTTATTCTAGAATTTCTAATAAACTGCCATGTTTGACTTATTTTACCATAATGTACTTATTATTCAAATCTCCTCTATAATTAGAATATTTTTAAACTAAGCTTTCTAATATATAGAAATATGCAAAAATATTCAAATATGAGAGAATAAAGATTGATTCATTAATAAATGAAACAAATAAATATAAAACATTACATTGCTGCATTATCTCTGTCAACTGGATTGCACCTAAATCAACTTGAAGTCTTCTATATTATTAAGAAAACCATGAACTAAACTGTATAATCAAATTTTCATCTAGAATGTACTTTGTTCCTGACATGATGAAGCACATTCCTATGTGGCCTGAACAAAATAATATAGCACTTGGGGACAAAGATGCATCCTAGGAGGCCTGCACTAGAAACCAAGATAGAGAAAGCTTCCATGGCAACCACATATTTCCCCTTGGTGCTGTGGTAGACAGGAAGGAAGGTGACCCACACACTGAAGAAAATCAACATGCTGAAGGACATGAACTTGGCTTCATTGAATGTGTCGGGCAGGTTCCTGGACAGGTAAGCCATAGTGTAGCTCCCAAGTGCCATGGAGCAGAGGTAACCCAGCACAGAATGGAAGGCAATAGTGGAGCCCTTGTTGCATATAATAATTATGTGTCCATGTTTTGAGTAAGCATCTGAGTCAACAAAGGGAGGAGATTTGCTCAGCCAAAATCCACAGAGGACAAGTTGGATGAGGGTGCAGATGGGAATGATGAAGTTAGGAAACCTTGATATCATTATCCACCTTATCAGTCTCCCTGGAACTGTGATCCTGAAAGCCAGAACCACAGTAACACTTTTGGCCAAGACTGTGGAGAGAGCCACCGTGAACAGAACTGCAAATGTGCTCTGCTGCAGGATACAGGTGGCTGTGTTGGGGTGGCCAATGTAGAGCAAGGGACAGAGGAAACAGAAAGTCAGAGTGATGAGTAGGATGTAAGTGAGAGCCTGATTGTTTGCCTTGACTATGGGAGTGTGGTGGTGCTTCACAAACACAACAAGAACACCAGCTGTGAGTGCAGAGAAGCTCAGGGCCAAGGAGGTCAGTGCCATCCCCAAAGGGTCTTCATAGGCCAGAAAGGTCACTGTTTTCTGGAGGCAGTGATTCTGCTCTGTGTTTGCATAATGACTTTCTGGACACCTCACACAATGATCCATATCTGCTCAGGAATTAAAGTTATTGTGAGTCTCTCCTCATGTTACCATGGTATCCCAAACCAATTCCCAGCATCAGGTCTCTGGCATATTCCCACATATCTTTTAATTTTTTCAGACTCAAGTAAATCAGTGCTCAATACTGAATGCTCCCAAATGCACTCTAATTAAACATTCTAGGGTTTTTATTGGATATGTACTAAGCAAGTCTACTCTTTTTTTTTTTTTTGGTTTTTCGAGACAGGGTTTCTATGTGTTGTTTTGGAGGCTCTCCTGGCACTCACTCTGTAGACCAGGCTGGCCTCTAACTTACAGAGATCTGCCTGCCTCTGCCTCCCGAGTGCTGGGATTAAAGGCGTGTGCCACCAACACCCGGGTGCAAGTCTACTCTTTTTATTAACTTACTTCAATATATTTTCATCTATGTAATGATTTTTGTTTATTTATATACTGACAAATTACTGATTTAAATCACATAAATCAAAGATAATCATAGTATCACCTCGATCTGAATTCCCTTGTGTGACTTTGTCCTGTAAGTTCAGTACAAAAAGTATGTATTTTCAATTGTTTTCATTTAGTGTTCTCAGTCATAGGATTCAAATTTATCTATTCACATAGTGTTTATTGACTGAATTCTCCAGGGTGCTGATTCTCTGATACTGCAATTTAGAATGAGAGTTATTAGATTTTTCAAAGCTTGAAAAGCTCACTTTTGTGAAACTGTTTATTCCTTTCTAGGGAGAAATGATTAGCTTAACAGCTAGGTACAAATCTGCCATTTAATCTTATTTGGTCTTGGAATAATTGAGTGATGCTTTATCAGTTTTAATTTTTGAGTTCCATTTTGAATTCAAAATTATGAATGACATAATTTTCATTATATATTTTCATTCTATTAAAATATTCAGTGTTTTTGCAAAGTGGATTTTTCAGTTTGAAATTTTGTTTAAAATTCAGATATAAAGATCTATTGAAATTCATCAGGTTGCTAGTGCCTGCTCTCTTTTGCTCCATTATCAGCAATTTATTTGTTATTTCTTCCAGCTCTGCCTTCATGCCTCTCTCTCACTCTCAAGGTAAGTTGTCTCCTCTACAGCCTGTGTGTTTATTTACTATTGATTCTAACTGAGCATGAATGGCCCATAAGCACAATCTTATATCTTATTAATAAAAGCAAAGGGTATATAAGACATGACAAATATTTTTCATAAATTGAAATTTATATTTTTAAAGATAGTTACACATTATTCTATAAGCTTTGAAGTATGACATTCACTGTTTTGAAATATTTAGCACTTTTGTTTTAGTTTCTTCTTTCTTACTAGATATATTTTGAGGTGTCCTCTTAAACTCCAACAATTCAGGGTTTGATACTGTTGCTTCTAGATTCTTCCAATGAATATATTTAACATTTGCATCAACTTAGAATGGCTCCAATATACAAAAGTTTCTATATGCACATTAAGTCTTTGATGGTGTATATAGTTTGGATCAATATGAACATTTTGAATTTAGGCAAATCAAACTCACCAAAACATTGAAACACATTCTCTCCTTATGAGGAAATGTTAACACATCTGAGTGTTCAGGAAAGCTATTGTTTTACTCACAATATTTCAATTTTCATATAAAGAATCTCATTAGATATTTATATTAAGATTCAGGAATCCTCTTTGATTTTCTCTCCATATTAAACACTGAGTCTAAGCCTGCTCATTCCATTCACTGTTTTCAATTGTCTAATGCCTACTTTCTATTCCCTGGATATAGTTTCACATAATATTTTTGTGGAATATTAAGCAAAGATGGGTTACATTAGTTTATGCTTTGGAATATTTATTTCATGATGTAAAGATACATTGTATTCTTTTATTTTATATGTATGTACCTCTAGGAAGCTGTGTTATTTTTCCTGATTGTTCTAATAAGGACATTAATGGGCAATTAACAGGAAGAAGAATGCATAGGCAGTGGCAGTAGGCAGAAACAATAGGTAGGAAGAGAGATATTTGAAATGAGAATCAAGAATCAAAAGAAGAGAGAAGAACATCAGTGGCCAGCCACCAAGCAATACAGCAAGCTGTTGAGTAAGAATTTTAAAAAGGTATATAGAACAGAGAAAGATCAAAACCAAGAGGCATGAGGAAGACATTATCAAACAGGTGGAGACCCAGTTGACACCCAGTGAGCATGACACTTACCTGTCTCATTGGAAATCTCATTGTGTGGACACTGAGTACAATGATAGCAACAAGGAGGCCTCCCCTCCTGGGCAGATTTTCTTTTTCCAGGAAAACAGCTCTCACTGCACACAGAGCGAGGAAGCTGAGAATTAAATACATGGTGAAAATATTCAAGAGTTGGCAGTTTAAAACAATGAAAATGGTATTTTCCAATACTGAACAATATAATGGCATATATATACAATTTGCTTCCCTGTTTTGATGCATCATTTCTATTTCAATATATGATATGGTATGAAGTTCAATGTATTTAATCAAATGGTCCTAAGACAAAATAAATATGAACAAGTGTGGAAATGTTAGAGGTAGGGAAACATAAGAAAAATTTAGGTTACTGGGTATATGTCTAAAGGGGCATTTCTAATGTCATGGTGATTCTATTGTGCACCTCTGAGCAGCTGCTGTAAGCAGCTTTGTTTCCCAATGGTGATGCTTAATTTATATTTTTAAGCTTGACTGATTCAGAATTACAAAATAAGCTAGGCTTGCTCACTTTGTGTGAAAGATGGTTACATTAATGTACTTGAAGTGAGAAGACATATATTATAATAGGTAGCACCTTTTTGTTGGCTGTTGTTGTTTACTGAAAGGAAACCAAAAAGGGATGTGAAGAGCAGTATTCACCAATATCTACTACCTTCTGAAAAAATAAATTGACTCAACTTTTCAGTCTCTTGCCTACATGATTGCCTGAATCATTATGAACTGCTATCACCAAGTGTGACCAACAGAAGACTATGTTCTTACTTTTGGTCTGCCTGGTTTTTGGTTTGGTTAGGTTGGGTTGGGTTATGTTGGGTTGAGTTCTTTGATAAATTGCTTGCTTTTTCAGCAGGAAGACACATAACTAACCTATGATCATGTGTCCTCTATGCTATTTTACAATTCCAGGTACCTGAAAGCAAAATGTCTATAAACTTACATTTCCTAATCTGGGAGTTAAAATAATGCTCTTGTCAGGTTGTTTCAGCACATGGATGAAATGGGAATGGATAGACACTGGATTTATGACTGGAAATAAGAGCCCATAGGAAAAAAGGATTTAAAAATAATCCCATTAATCAGAATAAGGGACAAAATAATTCTTCAGATGAGAGTAGTTTTGTGCAAACAGATGGGTACTGAGTAAGGAACCAAAAGGCATAACTTCCACAAATTAATGTTTATTGACTGAGATCAAAGCAATGAGATAAGATCCAACCCACATCTGTAAATCCTGTGGCCCACTGTATCATATGATCAGACAAAAACATCTCTTGGCCTTGTGGAGCTTTTGGATAAAATGTTCCAACTTTCATCTTTTGTGTGAGACCAAGTGGAAAATTCCAGAGGTTGACAATATCATATTCTGCATCTAATTTCCTTTCTGGGTCCAGAACCACAGTTTTTCCAGCAGAATTTTTGAAATGCATATTGTTGAGAAAGTGATTAAGCTAAAAGAAATGCAAAATCTGATGATGAATTCATTCCCAGAAACATTAAACACAATACAATGAAGCAATGTGTCTCACTATCCTAAATACCTGGCATTGATTTCAAGCTGTATCAACCTTGCAACATTTTAATGAATGAAGAACAAAAATGAACATATCATCATGTTTCTAGACTGCCAATCACATTCAGAAAATAGAATTCACACACACACACACACACACACACACAGAGAGAGAGAGAGAGAGAGAGAGAGAGACAGACAGAGAGACAGAGAGAGAGAGAAGAAATTCTGTCAAATTTCCAACCTCTTGAAGTGCTAGCCACTACTCACAGTTTCCACTTGTAAATTGGGGTGTTTATATCTAAACTGTAAGAAAATGGTCAGATGGTCAGTTAGGTAACAGAAGCATGAACTCAGAAGTTTACCTTTGAGGATCTAGTAAATTTGAACATTTAGGGTCTAGTTCCACAATTTCTGTTCTGAAATATTCATAGAGAAAATGGGGTTTTAAATTTATTATATTATAAAGAGAAAATTCTGAGGTTAATTGTAACACAAAGTAGATAATGCCATATACACATTTAAACCTACTTATTTATATCCATTCATCAGGAACAATGGAATATTTGTCTACAACAAATTCTAGTTAGTAAAATGCATACTGTCTCTCAGGTGCTCTTTGGCAAAATCACTGCAGTGTAAAATAATATGCTGAGTGTTTTTATAAAACCTCAGTTTGGGGCTATACACCAGCAAGAACTGAACAACCGAACGCAGATGAAACAGAAAAGAATGACCTTCAAAACAACCTCATGAAAATGACAGAGACCCTCAAACAAGATATGAGAAAATCCCTTAAAGAAAGAGAAGAAAAAGCAAACCAAAGACATGCAAGAAATCAACAAATCTCTTGAAGAATGCATAGAAAGCCATGAAAAACAAAACACATGAAGAAAACTATTCAAACAGTTCAAGACCTGAAAACTGAAATAGAGGCAATAAAGAAAACACAAACTGAGGGCTTGCTGGAAATAGAAAAGCTGGGTAAATGATCAGTAACTACAGATGCAAGTATAACCAACAGAATACAAGAGATGGAAGACAGAATCTTAGGAACTAAAGAATGATGGGGGAAGTCCTTCTGTGTATATGTTCTTATTGGTTGATGAGTAAAGCACTGTTGGCCAATAGGGAAGCAAAATAGGTGGGATCAGGAGTTGAGGAGGATTCTTGAAAATGTAGTCAAGTTTGGGGAGTTGCCATGTGATGCCCCGGGAAGAGATCAAGGGATACATGTTGGAAAGGAAGAAGAAAAATTTGACTATTTGCAGATGATATGACAGTCTACTTAAGTGACCCAAAGAATTCTACCAGGGAACTCCTGCAACTGCCAAAAACCTTCTGCAAAGTGAGAGAATACAGATTAATGAAAAACAATCCAGTAGCCCTACAATATATATATAGACAGTAAATGTGCTGAGAAAGAAATCAGACAAACATCACTCTTTACAATAGCCACAAACAATGTAAAATATCTTTCATACAATAAGGGCATCTATTCAACCATGTTCCTAGCAGAATTGTTTTGTAATAGCCAGAACCTGGAAGCAAACTCGATGCCCCTCATTCTAAGATGGATAGAAACTGTGGTACATTTACAAAATGGAATCTAGAAATTTGCAGGCAAATGGATGAAACTAGGAGAAGCCATCCTGAATGAGGTAACCTGGTCACAAAAGAAATATATTAGTAGGGGAGAAAGGGAAACGGGGGTAGGAAGGTTGTGTTGGAGGAAGAATAGAGGAGAGCAGGATGAGAGATACCATAATAGAGGGAATCATTGTAGGTTTGAGGAGAGATCTAGCACTAGAGGAATTTCCAGAGATCTACGAAGATTACACTAAGTGGCACACAAGCAATAGTGGAGAAACTACCTTAAATGCCCTTCCTGAAAAAGAGATTGATGACTACTTTATATGCCATCCTAGAGTCTTAATGGATGGAAGCAGAGGCAGACACCCACAGCTGAACACTGTACTGAACTCCTAGAACCCAGTCATAGAGTGGGGAGTGATGAGCAAATGGGTCAGGACCAGGCTGGAGAAACCCACAGAAACAGATTACCTGAACAAGGGGGAGCCTATGGAACCCAGATTGATGGCTGAGAGGCCAGCATGGTACTGATCCACATCCCCTGAATATGGGTGTCAGTGAGGATACCTTGGCAATCTATGTATTCATCCCTGGTGTATGAATGGATTTTGGGAGCCCATTCCACATGGAGGGATGCTGTCGCAGGCTTGACACATGAGTGAGTGTCTAGGCCCTGCCCTGGATGATATAATAGACTTTGGATATCCTCCATGGATGGCCTCACACACCCTGGGGAGCTCAGTGGGCTTGGTTCTTAGGAGTGGGTGGTTTGGTGGGGTCAGGGGATGGAGAGTGGCTGGGATTGACATGTGAAGCAAACTTAAAAATCTTACTTTTTCACAGTGCTATTCTTAAAATATAAAAAGTGAAAATTACCTCCCATGGGTTAGTATATACCTCCCCATTCCCTTGGGGATTATTTTGCACTTGTTTGATGTTCATTTCATGGAGACTGTGAGCCACAGCATATACAGCATTGAATACATTGTAACTCTCTTCACTCATGTCCATTTCCCAGGTGTTTCTAGGCAACATTTCCAAGGAAACATTGGGTAGACAGTTACCAAGAATTTTGCAATCAGGTCCAGAAAAGGAGCAATTGAAGTGTTTATTCCAAGCAAGGGCAAGATAATGGTCATCTGGGTATTTGAAAGGGTTGTATGTCTGAATAAACTTCCTAAAATCAGAAAACTCAACATGATGATGTGCAAAAATGAGACTCCCGTGTAATGAATCCAACATGAAAATAAATTCACCAACACTTAGATCCCATTGTGACTTCATGACCCAGACTTTCCAATTTACTAAATAGAAATCTATATACGTAAGATTAAACCACTTAAATATTCATTGTCAGCATAAATGATAACCACGTTTGCAGTTGATATCATGATCTGGGAATTCGTTACAGAATTAAAGAAAAAGGAAGACACATTGTCTGGAATCATTTCTACAAAAGCTACACACACATGGTTCCTGTCCATCTCTCCTCTCAGATCTGAGAGAATCTTAGCCCCATTGTGGTCATCTATGATAACCAGTCCTACCCATGTCCAGTTGAAATGCAGCATCAAAAGGACAATGCCATGTGGCAGAGACGTGTCCTTGTGTGCTGTCTGGTAGAGAGAAGAGAACTGGCGTCTGTCACTCAGGATAGTGTCAAATGACCCAAAAGAAACCTGAAGAAAATTTCCAATAGAAACAAGAAGGAAAACATTAAAATAGAACACAATCCTAAACTCAATTCAGCACTTTGTTTTGGTAGAGTTTAACTTCTACTCATGGTGCTTTAAACTCCTATGCTGATTTGAAGATATTTATAAATAATACCTCACAAAACACAGCACCTTCTACCCACAAAATATATATCCAAACTCTTCCTACTCTCTATCTCCAGCCAAGTATCTGAGGCTTTATAAACAAATGTCTGATTTCTTCTCTTCAATTGATAATGACATATTCTCATTTCTGTACATTTTAATATACCTGAAATGTCTGCAGTGTAACACAGGTTTCTTGTTCCTCACCTGTGGATATTTGTAGAGACTCAACAGTCTCCCAATATGTGCAGATGCTGTCCATGTTGCTCCTGTAAGTAGAGCAGCAACATTCTTCTGTCTTCTACATGTGTAATTGGGAATCATTATTCCTGTTCCTGTGAGGCAAAGAAAAGGTGCCTCCAAAGTATCCCATTGATTGCTGTTGACATTGTAGAGGTCAAATCCTAGAGATGTGTTGGGTAAAATGTGCATGTTTCTGTTGATTTCCTCAATGGCAAATATGAAGGACAAAGAATTCTGGTAGGCGATGTTCCTGAAACTGCAGAGAATGATAATCAATATTTATGAATGATACTCATATTAGAGTATGATGCAATGGTTCTCATACCTTCTATGCTATTTATTTAAAAACAATAATTTTTAATCACAGTAATGGTTATTATCTGAATGTAATGGCATATAGTAAGTGGAGATTTTAATTACCCCAAAGCCTCAGATGGAGCTAAAATTCTTGGACAGGAAAGTTGACTTGAAGAAATATCACCCATGGAATCTCCTGGTAAGTAGAAGCACATACAAAACCCGATTCTTTGATGCTTAAGTGAAATAACAAGCAGATAGAAACTTGCATCTTGAAAGTCTCCCCTGTTCTGTACTATAACACCCCAAGACCTCCACACCACATTCTCTCTGTCTGTACATAGATGGAGAGACTGAAGCCTTTGAGTTGTTCTAATTAAGGATAAATGAGCTTTATATTGATGTTTTCCTGAGTTGCATGCAGCAATCTAAAAGCAACATTAAGATCTGCTCCTAGGAGTGGTTTAAATATCTCCCATCCAAGCACAGCTCTTTTAACAACCTTTCACCTCCCCCATGTCCTTCTCCTTTCTGAGAACCATACAACAAAGAGCACAATGACTGAGTAATTTTCCTATAGATTAACAGTCTATAGTCATAACTACAGTTTTGGGGGTTTTGTGTGCTCAATACTGTATTTTCTCTCATCTGCTTTCCTCATTCTCTATGCCTTCACTATGTATCTACCTACTTAGCAGAGTGGATTACACAACAACCTTGAATGGCTTGATGGTGAATGTGAATATTTTACCCTGCAGGTGAGTTCAACTTGAACAGAAAAGAAAACCTAGTTTATTACACACATATAGTTTATACCATCATCATCTTCTCTAAGTGAGAAAATTTTCCTCAAAGGAAGCCATGAGGGCTCTAGTCAATACTGTCTCCATGAGAAATGTTAATTAGCACTCCAGGTTTCTCTCTCTTAAATTGTTGCTAATGTACCCAGTCAGATTCCTTACTGGTAACCCATAAACAACAGAAAGAGATTTGCAGAACTAGCAGCATTAATCCCATGTCCTTAAAAACCAGTTGCATAACATATATAAAACTTAAAATGATGATCATGTTACTATTGAATACATATTAGAATGGTTATGTTTAGGCACTGAATTCAATTTACCATACAAATAGGAATTCCTTGCACTCCTAAAGTGTAATTTTTGATCTCTGTACCCTCCTCCATTGGCTGAGCAGGACCTCACTTTTCATAATGACCAGGTAGACAAGAAGACTCATTAACCAACACAGGGTTATCCATATCTGTCCAACTTAACCATTGAGCTAATTGGATGATTGGGAATACAGGCCCAGTAACTATGATCAGTCCCTGTTTTTGACACAGACACCACCTGTAGCATAGCCACGTACAAGGTTGTAGCATTCCAAGGTTTCTGACAGACTCAAGTGTGTGCCTCTCCATATTGTCACAAAGATGCTATGTGCTATGCTGGCCACAGTTGTGTGGATTGGCTGTCTGCTGCAAAGGCCTTCCCTATCTTTTCTTTCCCTGAGGCATCTCAGCAGCTTAAACATCCAAGAGATTGCTCTTTCTCATGACAGATTTTATCAGTTCTGATGGTGTTCAGAGCCTTTTATCTCTTGTGGAAACATAGGCATACCCTCGACCCCATCTTAACACATTACCTGTTTTTACACAGGCTGGCATAATTAACCAGTTTTTTTAACCATAATCAAAAATACCACAGTAGACTGAGTCATTATAAGTTTGAAGGAAGATCTGCCACCAGTGAGACCTCTAGCGATGTACAAGGATGGCATCAACTGGCAAGCTAAGCAATAGTGTAGAGGCTACCTTAAATGCCAATTCCAGTTAATGAACTTGATATTTACCTTATATGCAATCCTAGAGCCTTCATGCTGTGACTGATGGAAGCAGAGGCAAACACACACAGCTAAACACTGAGCTGAACCCATGGAACCCAGTGACAGAAAGAGAGAGCAGCAATGACCAAATGGGCAAAGAATGGGCTAGCAAAACCAGCAGAGACAGCTGATCTGATCAAGAGGGAGCTCTTGGACTCCAGACTGACAGCTGGGAGGCCAACATGGGACTGATTCAGAAACCCTAAGTGTGAGAGTCAGTGAGGAGGCCTGGGCAACCTATGGGGCCCTGGCCAGTAGATCAATATTTATCCCAGGAATACAAATGGACTTCTGTGTCCATAACACAAAGAGGAATGGACTCTCAGTCTGGACTCTTAGGGGAGAGCCTGGACCCTGCCCTGAGTGGAATGACAGACTCTGGATATCCCCTATGTGGAAGGAAGTGGGGATAGTGGGGGATGCTGGGGGGTGGTCAGTGGGAGGTGGGGGAGGAGGGGAGGGAAAGGGAGCTGGGATTGACATGTGAAGCAAACTATTTAAAATTTAAATAAAAAATTAAATTAAAAATGAGGTTTTCCAAAATAGAAAAAAATTCTAGAGCAGTTGTCCCTGTTTCATTAGTGTTTAAAAGTTTTAAAGTTAGTTGAGCATTATGGAGTTTATCCTTAGTCATCCTCATATCCCCTTCTGTTTAACAAGCATCACCTTTGGACTATGATTACATCTTTAATAAGGCTTTCATATCTTTATTTGCACTTCAGGCCCTATATATTTATTATATTCTACATTCTGTTTTACCTGATATAATGATCCATTGTCCAATATTTGAATAGAGACTTTTCTTCTAGGCTTGTTGGAATTTTAACTGTTTTGAGACATTACAGATACATCAGTTTTGGTGTCTATAAGGACTGAAATCTCAATGTCATTTGTTTCAAAATTTAGCTTTGGGCTTTCATCATTAGCAAAAATCTGTCAAAATATTTTTGTTCTACTATTCCTTAAACCCATTTCCTATTGTATAGCAGCAGCTTTCCCATTGAAATATGGGAGTAATAATAATTGAGCAAACAGCTTCTATTGCATAGTACTTTCACGTAAATCATCTATAAAGGCATTAAAACAATTTTATAGAACTTTTAAAAACAATCTCATTTTCAATACCTATCCCAGTTTCCTCTTCCTCCAGTCCTGCCACAGTCCCCTGTATCTGCTCACTACACCCCCCACTCATTCCTCAGACAGAGGCAACTTTAGGCAACATTATGGAGTAGTTTTATAAAATTTTAAGAAGAGGATCATTTATATAGATCCCAAGTAACTTGTGAATGTAAGTTGCTAATTATTAACAGTGTGGAACAAACAATTTACCTATATTTTATTTTGTGGATAAATAAAATTTATACAATCTATATGTAATTGATTATTTTTATGAGCTTTTTTCCTTAGTAAACATATTATCTAATAACCTTACAACCTGTTTAATTTCAGGTGTTACGTTTTTATAGAATTTCAAAAAGAATTTTCAAAAAGCAACTTTAAGAGCAGAGCCAAATTCTTAGCAATGATAAACAGACAGTATCATACCCAATAATACAGTTCAAAATCATTAATTTTATTGTCTGGTTCATTTACTATAAAAATTAAATACTCGTTTAAATATCAGTTGCACAATGTAAAGAGGAGGTCGCCCTCTATTCATTGAGTGAATTATATATCTGGAAACTCTTGTAGTTGCATTATTAAAATGGCACTTGGCCTTGTGCTGTCAAATATACCTTCAACTAAATATGAAAAATAATGGTCGCACATAATTCCAGAAATTGACTGTAACCTCTCACAAGGGATAATACCATTTATTCACAAAATGTCTTTAAAATATACCTGATCAGAAATTTAGCAATTCTGCTAATATGTATAAACTAGCATTAATCTGAAAGAATATATTTTTCATATAAACTGTATTACAATAAAAAATATTAATAACTGTGTAATAAAATATATGTGTGTATATATATAAAAGTACATATATATGTATATGTTTACTTATCTTTTAAATTGTGATTCACAAACATAAAATATACTTAGAGATTAAGAAAAAATTATCATAATGAATATATTCCTGGCCACACATTTCATGTCCTTTTTTATGATTTTCAGAAAGAACATGTATAAGAGGGCAAAAGACAAAATAAACCCATTTTTCACATATGGACACATAGGCACCTTACTGTAAATGAAATTCTGTCACCATATTTTCTGTGTCTATTACAGACTAAGTGTCAAAACATAATTAATCTATCAACTTTTCATCTCTGATCATATCTCCTATTCTACAATCCCTGTGTTGTGTACTTATCACCTCACTAATGTTTCAGCACAAAGACAAACATATCACAAGGACCTAAATTTATCCTCACTTGTACTTGTCTATGTGCCTTTCTTCTGTATTTCCATTTTCCAGACTTCTGTTAAAATTCAGTATAAACTATTTTTCTCAATCTCAGGTCTCATGGATCTTGCAGCTACAGTAATTTTGCATCTAATAAAAGAGATCTTACTTCCTTCATAATAAAGTCTGTGTAGGTATTTCTTGACAGATGAGTATGAGACATTTTACTAACTTAACTGCCACTGTCCTCTACTATAAAAGGAACAAAACTAGGACACTACTGTGAGAGTTCACAATCAGCATCTATGTGAGCTCCAGAAAATATCCATACCCAGTTTCAATAATTAGAAAAACATAAATGAAGTGGAACAAATGGTATAAAATTGAAAGAATCTAAAAGGTTGTTAATGAAAATCATAGCGAAATGTTGTAAATCATTTTGAAGCATTTTAAGTAGAAGATCTCCCAACTCCAGAGTCTCACATTCTGACTTGCTAATTAATCATCAGCAGACAGCACAGCCATTCCCTGTCACTCTGCAATCATCACATAAGGACTCTGTAGTCACTGTGATCACTGGCATCATTTCTTCTGAATGGAGAATAACTGCACTTTGAAAATGGCTCAAAACAACAATTCAAATTGCAAGATATTCCATCTGCAGAGAAAAGTGTGTAAATATCCCAACTCTAGACAGCTGAACGAACTGCAAAGAATGCAGAGAGATTGAGAATATCAAATGTGTAAAATAACATGGATTAAAAACAATGTTTTTCTTTGAGAGGAGAGAAAATGGAACAAGACAACATACATGAGAAAGAGCTTTGTGAGTACATGAGAGGGGATGCCAGGGTGAGAAAAAATTAAATTTATGTCAATCCAAACTTACTTAAGGACAATGAAATTTGAGTAATGAAGAGGAATAAAATTTGAAACCACTTACCTGGTATAAGTATTTCTGTCACCTGTAAAATTAATTGGGTGGTCATGAACACAATCATAAAGTGGAACAAATATAGCAATCACCACATTTCCATCGTGATATAAATGCCTTTGTTCTTTTGAATAGCATTGAGAAGAATTAAAGGAGTAAAAGGGAACAAGATTTTGCAGGAACCAGAAAAGAAAAATCCAAGAGAACATCATAAAAAGAACTATCAATCACAGTCTAAGTATGCGGCACATAGATCCCTTTGTTTTCAGCAGCTACATATAGAGTTGATTTGTTTGTGAACCCAAGGGGTTGTAATATTGTGGGTGCCTGAAGTCATCATTCTTATGACAATTCTTTTGATAAGCCTCATCTACATTCCATGGAGAATTTTTTAATACATTTCTCCTTGAGACTTCACATATGAGACCCTGCATTCAAGATAATAACAAGCTTCAAATGACATTTGGGATCTTGAACCACAGGCACTATGATTTCATCTAAGAGGACATACAGCAAGACCCCAGGGATGACTCATCTTGAATTGACCTGCCTAGAGCTCTCTACTGCAAATGATACACAAGACATTGAACTAGGATGATGCAAGGACCTTGCAAGGGAGGATGCCAAGGGAGATGAGTGGGAAAACATCCTGAAATAGATCCAACAGGACTGTCCCAGGGAAAATCAGTGGAAAACCCTGTTCATTAAAACTGATTATCACCTATGCGGATATAGCTTGGCAATGGCTTGGAGGAATCTGAAATCACTTTTTGTGCAAATCTTGCATGTCTGCATAGCAATATTTATTTCATGTCACACTGTAATCCAAAATATTTTCTTTCTCCTTCCTAGGAAACTGATAGTAAACTTCATGAATTTAAAATGAAAATGGCTCAATACATGATGAGAAAAGGGTTTCTGTTTGGTTTTTGAACTCTGACCTACTGGGCTATTGTGTGTATTTTCAATCTTAAATCTTCCATTCACTGTGATATCATGATCCCTCCTATATCAAGATAATGAGATTTGAGGCGCTATTTATTCTTTCATAAATGTATAGTATTGAAAGCTCCACGTCCATTTTCCTCAAATAAAATAAACAAGCGCTTGTATACTCCACTCATCATGTATGAAATGTTCATTCTGAATATTTTAAATGAAGGTAATGTGAAGAGTACAAAGGGCCATGATTGTAAATTTAATGTTTGAACAATTTCACATGTGCACAAATAACTAAATGTCAGACATACTTTCACATAGGTTTCATTTTACTAGTTTACCTACCCTAAGTCACAAAGTTGAATATATCAGGTAGTTTCTGACCTAATGACTGGCATGCATTTCCATCTACTGTGTATAAATGAGAAACTTCTGAATACAACATTTCTACTTTGTGACTGTCACTGGGATTTGAAATTTCTTTATCTTGATAGAGGTTATAAGTGGCTCAATAGTTTTTTCTTCTAGATGTTTCTTTTAAGATAACAATAGTCCTGATACCTGAGACTGTGATTTAAATTGGGTTATTTTATGAGGTGAACAGTATGAATAAGTTCTTAATTTTTGGACCTCATGTAGCTGGAAAGACTGATCACCATGATTCAAATATCAGTCAACATGCATAAAGCCTTTGAATCTATTTGGTTGTAGGCATTACAGACACAGAGCTTTCTAGGTGTGGATTTTTCGATTCAGAAAGCACAGATCCTTGGTACCTGCTTTTCTTTGGGTCCTTTATATAAATGTCTATATTTTCTCATTGTTACACTGCTATTTTTAAATCTGTCACTGGAGACATACTGGGCAGGAAAGATATAACCCAATAGTCTGTATTTAAAAAGAAGTAAGTTACTTAAGTGTTTCAAATGAATTACATAAAATCTCATTAAGGAAAAAAACTGCTTGCTTATTCATTACTATTGTGCCTTGCAGTAGGACTTTCCCAATAAAATTTTCTAGACATAAATGAAGAACAACCATCATAAATAATACCTATTCTTAGAATATAGGGAAGTAAATACCAAAGTAGACATCAGACAAGCAAATCAATTATAACTATTTTTCAAAACTGGAAAAACTATTCTTCTAACACAGAATTGTTGGTTCTTCAATGTCTGATGTCATACTTTGTAAATGTAGCACATATTATTCATGGATATAATACAAAATCTACATCTGAGATTGAAAATTATGTATATCATTTAACTCTGCCCCATTATTTGTACCTCCAAAGAAAAAATAATTTGTATCCTATATAAATAAAGCTGCGAGATGATTAATCTAGAAAAGACTATGTGAAGAATTAGTCCTATACTGAGTTGCACAGTACAGATTCAGCCATATCTGATGGGAACAGCAATAGTCATAGTCATCAAAGCTGCTTGACAAAGATCCAGCAATGCTGAGCCACATCATTGTGCTCTTGTCATTTTAGGCTGGATCTCAGCATGTTGCATTCTTAGGGAAATATTAATATTTGAACAATGTAG